AATGCAGGTACAAAACCACCAAGCCACCATTTTTTAAGACATCTTAACACAGTATTATTTTCTCTCATGCCTGTCTTTTAGATTTTCCAAATCTCCGCAATAAACATGAATTTTCTCCTAACCAAAAAAGGAAAACCACATTCGTATTATAAAACCACACGTTCAAAGAAAACATACTGAAAGGCGTTGTTCTCTATTCTGGACAACTACTTGGCGTCCAAGTCCCTCAGAAGGATCTGGAGCCCTTCAGTCAGGTGGGTGAAGGACCAGAGCAGCCTCAAGATGGCGCAGGCAACACAGTGAAAACAAGATGGCGACAGCAAGATGCCGGAGGCAAGATGGCTTCCTCACGCTCAGTCTCTCCAGCCAAGTCTTTCCAGCTCCGTCCCCCTCACCACATCCACCCAGCCCAATCCAGCCACAACAGTGTCGAGACTATTTCCTCTGTGTCTATTGTTTACCTCCCATGTATACCTACCATCCCATTAATAAACCAATAAACCTTAGGGGCCCGCATTCTGTACAAGGTGCTGCAGGAGATGCTTGAAGGATGAAAGTGGTATTGAAAAGCCCAAATTATGGCTCAAACGCTTAAAAAGCCTACCATCCAGTTCTGGACATAAAAGGGAACCCCACATAGGCACAAGAATATAAACCGTGAGTACAAATCAGTGCTGATAAGCAAGCTCGGAGCAAGAAGAGCTCAGCCATGTGGCCTGGCACCACCCCACCCCCACCACCTTGAGCCAAACCTTAAAGGATGGAAGGACACAGAAACAGAGCAGGGAATAGCACACCCAGACAACTTCTCAAAGGCTGGGGCTGAAATGTGGAGGCTACAATCCTAAGGCAAATGCAGGGCATTCCAGCAAGCAGATCAGTCTGGCGGGAAGAGGCCGAAGGTACTGGGCAAGGGTGGGAACGTGGGAAATGCTGGCTGGAGCTGTGGCAGCCTCCAGGCTTGCCCGTGATTCCTTGGGAAACAGAAAGCCCCTGGAAGCTGGGTCCTCGGGAAGTGGTGCTTCCCACTCAGGTAGCTGGAGCCACGGGTGGCCAGCAGAATACAGGTGCAAGAGACCAGGGGGCATGGCACTGGGCAGAGGGTACCACCGCAATGCCAGGGGGCAGCCATGGGGCCCTCGCAGAAAGAATGGAAAGACAGGTGCAAGACAGAGCCCGGAGGGAAACAAACTACCTCATCTCTGTGCGCTCTCTCCTCCATACCAGCATCTCGACTTTTTTTTTTTTTAATGTTTATTCACTTTTGAGAAAGAGAAAGAGAGTGCACAAGCTGTGAAGGGGCAGAGAGAGAGGGAGACACAGAATTCAAAGTAGGCTCCAGGATCTGAGCTGTCAGCACAGAGGCTGATGCGGGACTTGAACCCACAAACTATGAGATAATGATGTGAGCCAAAGTCAGATGCTTAACTGACTCAGCCACCCAGGTGCCCCCGACTTTCTCTTTCAAGTGTCCTTCTCATTACTACTGAGGGACACCTGGTTGGCTCCATCAGTTAAGTATCCAACTCTCGATCTGGGCTCAGGTGAGGATCTCATGGTCCATCGGATCAATCTCCGGGTGGGGCTCTGCGCTGACCACACTACAATACTATGCCTGCTTGGGATGCTCTCTCTCTCTCTCTCTGCCCCTCCTCCACTCATGCTCACATGTGCTCTCACTCGCACTCTCCCTCTCTCCCCCAGAATAAATAAACTTTAAAAAATAAAAACTAAAAAATAAAGTATCCTTCTCAGCCTATAGGAAGGGAAACAACCTGTAACCGTTTGTGCAAAAGGCAGGACTCCAGACTTTGGCACCGAGAGTCTCAGCAGAGAGGCGGGTTCTGAGAAAGCCTGGGTCCCTGGCCGATGAGCCCAGGGGCTCCCTCTCAGAACACACAAAGAAACCGGTTCCAGGAAAGGGCAGCCACTAGAGGTAGCCGTGCTCACTGCACACGGCCAAGGGGAGGTGGAGCCTTCCTGAGTCCCTCTTGCCAGAACTTCATAGGAGTCCACAGCAAAGTCTGAGAAATCTCAGCAACCTTTAAAATGTCAGCTCCCACTTCATACCCAAAGGGCTGGACCCAAGTGGCCTTGTTCCTATGGTATGCCCTCCATTAATTCCTGAGGAATAAAGAACGCCAAGGTCAAGGTTTCCTTCTCCTTCAGTAGCAAGGGATAGAGACAGGCTGCAGAGCAAGTAGACACGGGAATCCAGGTCCCATCTCCCAGGCCCCAGGAGCCCCTGCTGCCCTCGGCCACCCTCCCCCTGCAGCATGTGGTCCCAGCAAGCCCACTGCAACCGGGTGGACCCCACAATACCTGAGGCAAACACAGGCAGAGCACAGGGTGCTGGCGGGTGGGGTGGAGAGGAGGAGGGTCCTCTCCACTTCATGACCTCTTCCCTGCGCTCTTCCTCAAGGCTTCACATCACTCCAAACTACGCTCAGCAGCCAGGAAGGTGACACCCACCTAGTGGCAGCTGGAAGTCCCCGGCTGGCCCAGGAAAAGCTCTGGAGCCAGTCTTCCTGCCTGCTTCTCCCCAGGGACTGCAGATCCCCAGGGACTGCAGATCGAGAAGACTCAGTCTTCCTGCATTCAAAGCACCCCGCCCAACCCGTCCCAAGTGCCTGGCACCCCGAAACCCCAGGGGATTGCTAACTGGACAGAAGAGCACACAAGCAAAGAAACCAGACCCCCAGCCCATCTGAAGCAAGCTCCTGGCTTCTCAGAAGTTCCTCCCCTCCCCCACCCCGCTGGCGCCAGCGGGAGAATGGGTCTTCCTCTTTGCTTGCTCCGTATAGGCAGTGGGCCACGGTCCAGGCCACAGCTAGTTGAGATGCAAAGTCTCAGGCCTCCACCCCCTATCTAGTGAATGAGAGACTACGGGTCAGGCTTAGAAACCTATGTCTTTTTTTTTTTTTTTTTTAATATTTCTTTACTTTGAGAGAGAGAGAGAGAGCAGGGGAGGGGCAGAGAGAGAGAGAGGGAGAATCCCATGCAGGCTCCGAGCCATCATCACAGAGCCTGATGCAGGGCTCGAGGTCATGACCTGAGCTGAAATCAAGAGTCTGATGCTCAACCGATTGAGCCACCCAGGTGCCCTCGAAACCCGTGTGTTAACGGGCCCCCCCATCTGACTCTGACACATGCCAAAAACAGAGGCAGGCTGATGCAGCAGCTAAGAACCTGGATTCTGGAACAGACTGTCCAAGTTCACCCCCTGACTGTGAGCAAGCTCCTTAGCAGGCAGGATCAGCTACTACCTCTGAGGTTGCTACAAAGGCATGTCTGTGCACTTAGTAAATACCGTTTAGAATTTTATTATTCCTCTCCAAGGCATTCGGGGGTGTAGCTATACCATATTTTGTTTCCTAACTGAAACCAATACTAAAACAATTTGTGTCCTTCAGTACAGCCTGACGGCGAGACCCAGGCTCCCTTGCACAGTCTTTCGGGTCCTCTGGGTAGGTCTATAGCAGGTGTATCCGTGTAGAATCATAAGGCCCACGCCATACGCTTCTCATCTGTCCAGAAACGAACTGGGGAGTGCAGCTACCCAGGGCAGATGTAAGTTCAAAGCATCCCCTGGATACTTGTTACATGACATTAACAAGACCACAGCTTATGTCAAAGGGTGCTCAGATCTGACCACACCCCACCTAGAAGGACCCAGCAGGGATCACTGGGGAGCAGGAAGAGAACTCTCTGAGGCCCTCCTTCTCCCTGCCACCGGACTGGTCTCACTCTATCTACAGGGAAGAGGGTCGAGGAGGGTCTTCCTGAAGTAGAAGCCCTTGGTCATCAAACTCCATGCTTATAACTGGGAGACACGCAATAGACAGAAGTTGTCTGGTTGGCATGGGCTTCTGTTTCTAGACTCTACCACTTCTTAGGAGCAGGACAGCAGCAACCTGGCGTCCAAGCCTCCTTTTCTCGTTTCTGATGCGAGGACGCAGTAGGACCTCCCTGGACTGCTGTGCACACTCAATGAGGTAACGTACAGTGTGTGGCACCCAGCAAAAATCACACCAATTATCATTATCTTTATGATGATTTGTAGTTCTGGAACTATTATGAGAACACAAGTTAGAAGCTCAGGAAGGGGGCGGGGGCGGGGGGGGGGTGTGGGTCTGCCTTGGATTCCAGCCCTATGGACCCTGGAAAGCTGCTTGTACTCCAGGTAGGTAATACTCACTCTGACCTTGGGGACAGCAAGTGTCCAATGACCCATCAATCCCTGGACCACACGTGACCAGGGCACATTAAGTCTCCCCCCTTCTCCCAAAGCACCGAAGAGAACATTTCAGATGGGACAGATTCTGACAACTGTCATTAATTGGATGGCACGCCTCGCTTTCTACACTCTGGAACACTGCTTCCCCAACCCACCAGCGAACTGTAACATTCACCCTCGGGCAGCTCCCAGGGAGAGACGGGGTGTGTTTTTAATAGCAGCCTCCACCAAGGCAGCGGGAAGGGAGGGGTCCTCATTATTAGCCGTGCAGCCCGCCTCTCGGAGAGATGACATATTCGTCCAACTTACTACCTTGGCGCATTAGCTCCAGACCTGAGGCCTTGACTTTGCAGACATTTAAGCCCGCCAATGTCCCTCCCTGTCTGACCCCGCCAAACGCTAAGAGCTGCAAGAGCTATTTTCTCCAAGTAGGCTTGCGCCTCCAGTCCCATTTGGCCGCGCCACTAGTTTCTGCACTCGGGCTGGAGTCGCCTGGTAATGATTCCGGCACGCGGGGACCGGGAGCCGGCTGTACTGACACGTTTCCACAATAAAAGCAAACTTACGGCTGGGGCACAGTAAGAAGCAGGTAATTCTTTCCAGCAGCCCCGGCCTCCTGGCCAAGACACGGCAGGAAGGGCGAGAGGGAGCCTGCGGGAGCCAGGAGGTGCCGGCTCTCCCCCACCGCGCAAAGGGCCCCAGGGGGTTACCGGTGCCCAGCCGGCCCGCGCAGAGCCCCGTCGGCGCCGGCGCGCGTCCTTACCGTTCAGTTGCCGATAGACGATGTCCTCGAGCAGCGACAGGCGCTTCAAGACCGCATCTTGGATGGGGCTGGCGCTGTGCGCGCTAAGGTTGGCCGCCTCGGCGCGCGGCCGAATCTCGTGGAAGGCGTCTCCGCTGCGCACCGCGATGGGCCGGCACTTGGCCAGGAAGAGCACGAAGCCGGCCACCGCGATCAAGTTCAACACCAGCAGCACTTTGACTCTTCTCAGTGAAGCCATCAAACACGCCCGGCCGGCCCGCGCCCCGGACCCGCGCCCCCTCGGGCTCCTGCGAGGCGCCGAGCAGCCGGGGACCGTGCGAGCCTCACACTCCCGACTGCGGGCGGGGAGCCCAGCGGCTCCCGGCCCCACAGCGCGGATGCTCCGGCGGCGGAGACGGCTGGGAGGACGGGGCGGTCAGGGGGGGAGCGAAATCGCTCCCATGGAAGCCCCCGCTGTGGAGAAGTGCTCCCGGAGACGCCTGCTCAGTTCACGGCTCGCGGGCCCCTTCCGGGCGCCTCGGCTTCTGGGCGAAGGGCCGGGGACCGTGGGTCTCTCCGCGGCACCAGCAAGTGGCTCGCGGCTGTTCCTCGGGCCGCCGGGAGCCAAGCCGCCCCGGCGCCGCGGCGGGAGTGGCGCGCAGGTGCCGGGCTCAGAGTCTGACGCCCGCCCGCTGGGGAGCGCGCCGCGCCTCGGGCCACACGGCCACCACCCTCGTCCGCAGGCGGCCGTCGCGGCGCTCGGCCGGCGGTCTTCAGCCCAGGACCCGCTCCCCCGGGCGGGCGCCTTTGTTCCGCTCAGTGACCCGCTCCATCGCGCCGGGAAGAGGGAAAGCCCGCGCCCGGAGCCCGCATCCTCGCGGCTCCGCAGTCACGCTCAAGTCTCAATTACTCTCAAAGTGGGGGCAGCACTAGGGGGCGGGCCAAGGGGCAGAGCGCGACGTCCTCTCCGCCCCTCGCGCCGGGGACACCCCACCCCGCCACCAAACTCACCAGCGCGCACGGCGCCGCGGGCGCCCGGACGCGTTCCAAGCCCCAACCTCACGCAGTGAGCCTTCGGGGCCTGCCGGTCACACTGGCCTCGCTCCGAGCTGGCGCGTCGCGAGGCCGGCCGGAAGGAGGAGTAGGACCTCAAAAGTCACAGCAGTTCTCTACCCCCTCCGAAAACGTCGCGGGGAGCGCGGCGGCAGCGACGCGCGCCGGCGCCCCCTCCGCTCGCCGGAACGGGCAGCTCAGCTCGTCCCGCGCGCCACAGAGCCCAACGCCGAGTCTCCTAATTGGCGGACGCAGCGATACTGCCGCTGCGGCACCGAGAGCCCACGCGGCCCCGGGCCCGGGGGTTGGAGAGCCCGGAGGGGACGCGCAGGTGGCGGCGGAGGGCGGGGCGCGGCCCGAGGGGACCGGCTGCAACGCCAGCTCCTCCTCCGCCGCCCCTGGCCGCCCCTCTCCCCGCGAGCCTGTCGGCCGCCGCCACCCGCAGGCTGCCAGGCGCACAGCTCCCCGGCTCGCCGGCTCGTGCGCGCGCACCCGGAAAGGGTGGGGGCGCCCGGAGAGTAGGGACTGCGCGGGATGGGGGCAGTCAAGTCATGCTGGCTGCTGCCGGCGTCGGAGGGACCCTCTGGTTCTCAGCACTCCCCGAGCGGGCGGGTCTGTTCCATCCAGAGAGGCGATGAAGACATCCTTTTCTGTGTGCTCGCAGCTCCGCTTTGCGTGGCCGGGAATGGCTAGAGGGAAAATCTGGCCTGGAGACTCGGATCCTGTTACTTTGGGAGCCTGGCCGCGCGTTAGGGGGCTGGGTGGGCCCTCTCCGCGTGAAAATTCTAGCTGTCCAAGTCACAGTTGCTGTGTCCACCCACATTTTATCATAAGAAGCAAATTTGGGCTACTGGATTTCCACGGTCTCTTCCTCTTCCCAAGGCCAGGAGCTGGAGAGACTGGGATTCAAAGACCCTTCTTGATCCACTTAATTCCTTGGGCCTAAAAAAGGACCGAGGCTGCCAAACAAATAAGCCTGGTCCGTAAAGGCCTATGAGTCTGGTGGTTTCCATCTCGCCATTTCGATCGCGCTCAAGTTTTTATTCCTTTTTTACTATTGGGTTTGGGGTGTGTTGGCTTGTTTTTGTTGCTTCTTTATTATTTTAGATATCCATTTTTCGCAGAAAAGTGGCTGGAAAATAGAACAAATTTTTAAATTTTCATTCCCTTGGAACTCCGTGCCTGAGTTCAGTTGGATCTTGGTGGGTTTGCTTTCTATCACCTGCAAAAAGTGAATACAAAGCAGTTGAATGAAAACCCCACATCAGAAGCCCCAAGGGACCATTTCTAGCCACCTGTGTTGAGCAGGAAAGGAACAGAGAGGGTAGAAACGTGAGTTATTGAGCAGCTGTGTGGCATGACAGGCAGGGACCCCACTGTCTCTGTCCCTGGGTACCCAGGGGGAAGCTAGCAGTCAGTGGAATCTTCTGCCAAACTAACTTTCCAACTTTTATTCAGGTGCAAGACAGAAGCTAGGGAGGCCGAGGCACTAGTGTAAGTGGTTCTAAACCCAGGTAGGTCTGACTCAAAAGTGTGTGCCTGTTTGGGAGTAGGAGACAGGAAGCAAAGTAGCAGCTGAAACCCCCCTGGGAGCCATGGAGAAGTTTCCAGGCAAGATTCAACTTCAGAGAGATTTCTTTTCTCCCTCTGAAACCAGAGAGATCCCTGGCCCAAATTACCTGATGATCTTACCGTGCATCTGACAGGTTTCTCTCCTCGCCCTCCGCATGGGTACATTCGTATACGACATCCAACATTCTAGACTCCATGAGAGATCCACAGTCAGGCTCACATCCTAAGCACTGTCTTCACCGAGAAGTGCTCCCTTCCCACGATCCTGCATGGAAATTTCCCACTCGCACTTCCAAACAAATATATTCCCCAGCCACCAGCAACCCTTCTCTCCCTTCCAAGTACCTAAGCCCTTCCATCCCCTCTGGATGGAAGGAGTTCCTTCTCTACCCTTCCTGGTTGTTCTTTAGTTCTGGTTACTTGTATATTTCAAACAGGTTCCCAGTAGTGGCCACAGTTCATACACTCATATACGTATTCTCCCCCAGCCTCCAGCCGGTAATACGTGACCTCTGATTTCAATCTCACCATCATCTTTCTTGCGCCCATGTATCCAAGCAAGAGACTGTGTTTAGGGACAGCGACATCACCCAAAGCTTGGAGACATTACCAGTTGGTGGTATCTAACTTGAACTGGACCCTTAATTCCATGAACCTAACCAACTTCTTCCCTCCAAGAGGAGCATAGGGTAGGCTTCAGAAAGTCCATAAACACAAACCAATATAAAAATTTGTGTGTGGCGGGGTGGGGGGGGTGCCTATGTGGCTCAGTCCATTAAGTGTCAGACTCTTGATTTCCACTCAGGTCATGATCTTGTGGTTCGTGAGTTTGAGCCCTGCATCAGGCTTTGCACTGACAGTACAGAGCCTACTTGGGATTCTCTCCCTCTCTCCCTCTCTCTCTGGCCCTCCCCCACTCACATATTTTCTCTCTCTCTCTCCCTTCCTCCCTCTCTCTCAAAATAAATAAACTTAAAAAAAATTGTACGTTTGTGTCATATGGACATTTTTCTGGGGAAAAGAGCCTAACTTCCATCAGATTCTCAGTGTGGTCAGTGACACCAAAAGGTTAAAATCCTGCCTGGCATATGGTGGACATGCAGAAAACAGAATCAGTTCCATATTGATTGTATGCCAGCTGCTTATGAAATCAGTGGCGCCAAGGCACACCAGGTTGGTGGAACTCTCTAGTTGCTTGCATATCTTGATGGGAGAAAGGAAACTCTGGACAAAGTCCAGTAGCTTTTACAAATGAAGGAACCAAACTGAAGAGGCTCTGCCTGCAAAGTAAATTCTCAGGCCTGGAAGGAACACACCTGGCCGTTTAAACCCCAGACACAAAGACTGAAGGGCCCATTGATTTCCCGGTAACCAGAGGCTCCCAGTGGGGTGGGCGACCTCCCTCCCTCAATCAGCAACTGCCATCTGTCTACACACCCCTTGTCCCAATCCAACTCATAAGACCAACAAAATTAACCACCGAGGCTGTGTGGCCGGCTCACCCAGGAGCCAGTTCTGTTACACCTGGTACCAAGAAGCAAATCAGTTCTTGACTTTGAAATAAGAAACTTCTCTGGGGCACCTGGGTGACTCAGTTTGTTAGCGTCCACCTTCCATTCAGGGCATGATCTCATGGTTCGTGGGTTCGAGCCCCGCATCCAGCTCTGTGCTGACAGCTCAGAGCCTAGAGCCTGCTTTGGATTCTGTGTCTCCATCTCTGCCCCTCCCTTGCTCTGTTTCTCTCTCTCTCTCTCAAAATAACATTAAAATTTTTAAAAAATAAAAAACTCCTTTTGGATGGCTCCAAAAATCTTTCCTAATCATAAATTCACTTATGATTTTTTAAGGTTTTTTTAAGAGGTTTATTGGGTTTGTGTGTGTGTTTGTTTAGCAAACTGAAAGGAAGGAGATGGATGTAGTTCTGTCCACAGTTAACAAAGGATTTCGAGTCTGTATACAGTTTTCACTCATCAGCCGTGGTTCATGCTATGTCACCTTCCCTGGCCTGTGAAAAATCTCTCACATCTCATCCTGGCCTATCACAAAAGTGAGAAACAGTCAGAGGTTCATCAGGAAAACCAGGGACACCTGTCTCTCCGGAGGTTTTACCAGGCTACTTACTTCTGCGGGAAGCAGAGGGATGGGGCCATCATTCCCATAAACCCTGAGCAATAGAAACTGGGAGTTTTATTTGATTTTTTAGTGAGATATAGTTGACACATATCATTATATTAGCTGCAGGTGTGCAACATCATGAGCTGAGATTTGTTTACATTGTGAAATGATCAGCACGGTAAGCCTAGGTAACACCTGTCACCATACAGTTATTTTTGTGTGTGATGAGAACTTTTACAATCTACTCTCTCTGCAACTTACAAAAGTACAATGCAGGATTAACTAGAGTCAACGTGACGTACCCTGGCACCCCCATTGACTCGCTCATTTTATAACTGGCAGCGTGTACCTTTTGATCTCCTTCACCAATTTTGCCAACCTACCCACTGTCCCCCCTACCTCTGGCAACCACCCAACCAATCGGTTCTCTGTATCTGTGAGTTCAGGTTTTTTGGAGGGTTTTTTAGATTCCACATATAAATGAGATCCTACAGTGTTTGTCTTTCTCTGCCTGACTTATTTCACCGGCAGGTTTGCTTTTTTGGAAGAGGAAGAAAAAAGTCACCAATCTACCTTCTTCCCCTTCAAGAATTCATGGCACATTGTAATGGCGGGGTGGGGGGAGGTCAGAGGGGGTTTAAGTAGAGGGGAGAGACTAGCTGTGTTGTATGCCTATCATATCAGCCTAGGTGCACCACTTCTTCACTGTGTGACTCTGAGCAAGTGACCTAACTTCTCTGGGTCATCACCTGCCTCCCCAGCTATGAACAGGAATAATGGAATAATATCCACTATGCCACGTCATGAAGAATAAATAGCTAATATGTGTGAATCCCTCAGCCAGTGCAAGGCATATAGTAAGCATTGTGGAATTAACCAGAGACGACCAGCTGAGGA